TTAATACAGTCCAGACACACTGACTGGACACTCCAGTACATTAACACTGCACTGACAGAGGAGATAACAAAATGTTACCTATAGCTCCTGCTCCAAAGGTGTCGTCATTGAATTGGTCTATGTCATCTTCCTCATCAACAAGACCCTCCTCCTCCTCCAGAGGGCAGTCCTCATCCAGAGACTTTGAGGGAAACAGTGGGAGGTTAATCCAGCGACACAATGACACCACAGCACACTGGCACTACACCGAGAGAGAGGGATTAATCATGGAGGAGCTCTCACCTGCTGGTTTTCAATCCTGCTGAGCTTAATTACTTAAATGAAGCCTTAATTCAATTAATAAATTGCTTGACTGGAACATTTGCAAGTACTTTGTCAAGTCAAGAGTTTGGGATTCGATTTCAATTAGGAAACGCAAATGTTTAAAGACTACCTCCAGTACATTTTAATATCTGAAAACAGTCACACAGTTCAAATTAACCCTGTTATTAAGTCAATTACAAACACAATTCCACAGGTGTGTAGGTCTGCAGGAGCAGGATTGAGGAAAAAAAAATCTTATGACTGTTTTTAGCAGAGTTTCCTGAAATCGCTGGAGTAGATTACGTTTGTGCAGCAGAACTCTCAAATTCACCACTGCAGGCATCACAGACAACAGGAGATGTGCATGCGGTTTCAGAAACAGAGCAGGATTGAAAACCCATATCCATGATCTCATTGGTGATGATGGAGCTGCTGTCAGGCCTCTCCCGGCGGTGAGAAACATCTCAACATGGGAGACCGGGAGCAGAAAAGACTCCTGAGCTGGGAAGCAGGCTGGTGAGGAGGGGGTCACTCCTAACAACATAAGACAGCTCACAAACAAAAGGAGGCTATTTGGCTGTCTTAGTAGTTAATTGATTCCAGGATCCCATCCAGCCATTTCTTGAAAGAAACCAGAATATCAGTTTCAACAACATGGCTGGGCACCCTGTTCCACCCTCCCACCACCCTTTGTGTAAAGAAGTGCCTCTTGTTCTCAGTTTTGCAGTAACTTCCCTGTAGTTTCCACTTGATTTCTCTGGTTTGTGTTTCACTATTGAATCTAACAAAGACCTTTGTGGTACTGCACTAATTACATAACCTCAATCTGAACATTAACCCTTTATCTGTACCCTCTTTTCTATCTAGTAAGCATTTATCAACACTCTAAGAAGTTGGTCAGGCAAGACCTAACTTTTCCAAATCCAAGCTCTTTCCTAGTATCCGATTTCCCTAGAGTGTGATCCTCTTGTTTACTGCATCTTGCAGCTGTAACACTTGTGGCTCTTTCCTGTCCTTCTTAGTCGCAGGAGTGTTGTCTGTTGGTGAAGGCCTATGTTCAGTCTGTGATATACAGGGTCACTCTGTGGGGCCAGTGAGCTTGCACTGGACAGACAGATGGTCAGTGTATCTGTTCCAGACAGAAAGATGGCCAGTGTATAGGGAGACGGTCAGTGGGTCAGGGTAAGAATGTGAAACAGGAGTACTGCAGGATAGGGGAGAGACACCGCAGGAACTGGGAACCAGGGGAGAGGAGCAGCAGGGTGGCAGAGATCAGAAATCAGAGAGTCACAAAGGACAGGAAGAGATACAGACTGAGAGGAGGGGGAGGAGAGTCAGATAATGTGAGAAACATAGTCGATAGAGTGGATTGTGAAAATCAGCTGGCCACAATGAACTAGCAGAACCCAGCCTGGGCCACAATCTGAAGAGTCATCTGCTATCAATCTACGAGCAGGCGGAAGTTGAGCTTTGCATAACAGTCCTGCACAACAACTGTGCAGCATTTCTGAAAACAAGCACCATAGCCCAGAGCCATGTGTGAGAGAATGTCGCCACAGAGAGATCACCACACATGGGGGAGGAGTGAGACAGGGATAAACACCCTGGAAAGGCCCTGCTCAGTTATGTAAAAACACCCAACAATGCATAAACTGCTGTATCCACTTCAGGGTTACGGGGGAGCCAGTGTCTATCCACAAGGCAAGGTACAACCTGGACTCCAGTCCCTTGCAGAGCAGACACACAGAAACAACACACACACACTCACACCAGGGCCAGTTTTCCCAGGGCTCAACTAACCTA